TTTCTTTTTTTAAATGTTTTTTCTTCCTCTCTCAAATGTCCCTCTGTGCTACTGGGTTGTGGGCCAGAGGAGGCTACTTCTATATGGCCAGCCGTTCGGGGATATGCCGCAAGCCAAGGTTGCGTTCTGATTGGCTTGGCTCCGGTGACAAATTGGCCTATCATGAATCGGACGGACGGAGGTCGCTCTCGAGGAGCCATGGCTGGAAGCTGGCTTACAGCTTGCTTTTTCCCTTCCCCAGGTGCTGACGCTAGCTCCGAGCCCATGATCTTGGAGCAGTATGTGGTGGTGTCCACCTACGAGAAACAGGAGAACTCCGAGATCAGCCTGCAAGCCGGGGAGGTCGTGGATGTCATCGAGAAAAACGAGAGCGGTGAGACACTTACACCTATTTTTCTTTTTAATAGTCTGCATTATTTTTTTGTTCTCTCTCTCTTCCCCTCCCACCCCTTCAATTCCCCCACCATCGCTCCATACAGCAATATATTAGGTCCATCTGGGACCGTGTCTGGCGGAGGAGGTTGAAGTTTCCCTCTGTTGGTTTGGGCCGGTGGCCAAAATGTTGCCTTCCACCGTAAGAATGTCTCATAGGTTTGCACGTTAATTAGCCAATGATCATTAATGGGAACCTAAGGGGGAGGAGGAAACGAGGCGCAGATCATGTGCTTATTCATTAGATTGATGCAGTTGCCCTGCTGTCTCTTTTTAAGGGTCTTGTTGGCATTTCCATTACAAACGGTTATTTGGGGGGATTTATAACAAGCGGTTAGACTTGCTCTGGGGTGAAAAGTTGTCTTACTGACTCAGCTGCTGGCCCAGAACTGAGAAACAGGGGGTAGAAATAATATGTAAAATAAAACTGCTCTTTTCCTCCAAATGGCCCAACCAGTGCTTCTCTCTTTTCTCCCAAAGCAGCTGAGGCTCTGTCCTGGAAAAGTGAGGTAAAAGTGATTCCATGTCACTGCTGGAATAACCAGCTTCCACTTGGGCAAGGAGGTGCTGGCAAGGGACTAGACTGGATCAGACTAATGTATTGTGATTTTTAAACTCCTGGAAGCCTGGTGTCTCATAGCCAGCCCAAGTAACTGTCGGAGCCTCCTGCATAGATGGGTGGTTCTGAAGGGGTAAATATTGGCTTAAACACCTGCCCACTTTTCCCTTGCTCTACCTTCCTTCTGCATCCAAATCAAACCGTTGTCCCAGGCATCGGGTCACCCACTTCTTGCCCAGAGGAGCTGTTCCAGTGTTGGGCTCATTCAGACGAAGATCTGAATCTCAGTCTGAGCACCGGTGACTCTAGTTTGATGGCAGCAGTGTTCTGGGTACTCAGCATTTCTGAGAAGCGAGCTTTGACCCGAGTATCTTGATCTGGATCCAGAAGCCATTCAGCAGAACCCTGTAGCCCAGATATTCCCCAAGGTGGTGGTGTTTCTATCCCAAGTACCTGTATTTTCACTGAGCATCACTTCCATGCTTTTATGGAAAGCTAATAACACTTTAAGTCTATGCACAAGTGATGCATTTGAGGAACGGTTAGCCTGCCAGCTGACTGGCATGGTGGTATAGGTGTACTATGTGAAAATAAATAGACATTGGTTAGTGGAGCCTTTATGGGTTTTTGGGTATTTAATATTGCGTACATTAGCAAAATGAGCAAGGAGGCCAAAGCACATATTTACCCAATTTTAAAGAGGTCATTAAGGTTAAAGGAGGGGAAAGATGCCATAAAATATCTTCACACACCTAGCGTAGTGGCTAACGGATTCATTTGCTAAGAAGTAGATATTACCTATGTTGGTCCCAAGGGCCGTATTCTGGCAACTGTCATTCAACTCTGGGATATCTTCTCTCTCCTGTTTTTTTAGAACCGGAAACAAACCAAGAAGTCACCAAGGGAGTTTGAGTTGTTCAGACAATGCAAAAGTGTCTGATTTCCCACTAGAAAAACATGGGGTTTCCAGTCCAGTCCAGCCTTCTCTGTTGTGCCTAGCACCATTCATGTAGTTGAGAGCTTGCAGAGGCTTGCCGGGGGAGCAGGGAATGTCTCTAAGGGAAAGTGTTGGCATTGAGTGGGATGAGAAGGCTGGAAAAGTAACTTGGCTACAACAACAAAAAAAAGATGACTTTGCTCACCTGAACAGAGAGATTACAGTTTGTCAAAGTCCCCTTTTAAAATAAATCCAGGGTTTTAGTAGCTGCAGTCACCCTTCAGAGGCTTTTTTTTTTGGGGGGGGGGGCAGGAACAGACCTGTGAAGCACTAATGTGTTGTGATCTAGGTGGAAGAAAATCTTTCCTCTGCTTCCTGCTCAGCCTTATTCTTCAGAGCCTAATGTTCACTTCAGCCTCTGGAAACGCACGCTGATTAGTTTTAGCATACTCTCCAGCACTGAGCATGAAGAGCGGGGTTTCTTGTACTCCTTGATATTTTTTTTTTATTGGAATTTAAAACATAAGAGTTGGGAAAACTTTTTGGCTGTAAGGGGCCACCAGCCTGAAATATTGAAAAGCAAAAGGAAGGTGCGTGTTGCTACTGTCCTGCAAAATATAGGTAGCTGACTGCTAGCAGTGGGAGAGCAGCAGTTGGTCTGAACATTTGTCTAAACCAGGGGTTCTCAAACTGGGGGGTCACGAGCAACTTTAAAGGGGGGTCGCAAACTTTTCCTCCCTCCCCAGCGGGGCTGCCGCTGCCACCCAGCACTTTGCGCTGCTTCCACCAGCACTTCTGCTTTTGTCGCCAGTGATTCCGGTTTCGCTGGCACGCGGGGGACCCCCCTCTCCCCTCCGCTCCTTGAGCAGTTGCCGGGACACTCCTTACTTCTCGACCAGCTGTCGGGGGTATACCAACCAAAAAAGATTGAAAACCCCTGGCTTTAATCAATAGTTTTAATCATGGGAAGGTTATGTAAATTGATATATAATTTTACGGTGTGGCGGTATCACAGAGTTGGAGAACCCCCTTGTCTAAACGTTTTTCTGGTGGAGAAAGTGGATTGTAAGCTTTCTGAAAAGCAAGATTCCTAAACTTCAGCAATTCCTGGCTTGGCCAGGTTAGAGACACCACAGGAAGGGCCTTTTACTTTTTCTTGTAATGTTCATGCTTTTCAGCTTAAGGAGAAGCCAAGATGTTTGCAAGTGATGCAGAAATGAAAAGGTAGCAAAAAGAAAAGTGCTGGTGTGAGTTGAGGTATAAATGCAACGTTTGGATGGCCAGTGGATGTTGGGCTGCTCTTCATAGCACATGGATGACCTTTTTTTCCCTAGAAAGAGGGATTATGTGGATTTATTTTACCCACGTGAATCTCCACGTACAATCAATAGGTGGATTCCCTTGAAGAATGATCACAAATGGAATCCATCTGGGCTCTTTCTGGTCCCAGTTGTCCTGTAGGTTTGCTTCTCTCCCTCTGGCTCAGGCAGGTAAAAATCCGGTGAGCCTTTCTGAATGTAATTTCTAGTGATGATGGCTCAGTGGTAGGAACAGATGTTTCCTTGCAGCGCTGCCCATGTGCGCAAACATACAGAACAATTGGACAATTGTTCACTGCTTAGTTCAGACCATTACCATCAGACTGAACATCATGCTGAATGCATGACATCCACTCCGCTGCGCTAATGCCTCTGATGAAAACCTTTTTAGAGACCGTGTATATATAATTACATGCCATATGGGGTTTGATTCTGTTTAAACTATGCTGTAGGAAAGCTGGAAATGCAGAGGCAATACTTGTCTCAGTTGTTCCAGTTGGATCACATCGTGATACCACACAAAAACAGCTAACGTCCATTGGCTTCTTCACCTCCTAGTGACAACAGATCTGTAAAAGGAACCATATATTCTGTTGAAAGACCCGAGTTAGTTTAATAGCAATATGGGCCTGTACTCTGCATGCTAAAACTTGGAAGCAGTTTTGCAGACAGGGTGAATAACGGTGGCAAATCTGGTTTTTGGTTTTGTCCTTTATCAGCAGTTGCATCAAAGCTGCCATGACGCAGGCTGGAGAAGCAACCACACTGTTTGCCTTGCTTGGGGGACAATCTGCAAGAGGTGAACTGAAAACAGTGCGGCAGCCTTGATGGGCCTGAACCAGACTTTGGCCCAGTGATCAATTTGTCTGGCTTTAAAAGAGGAACAGGGAGGCTTGCCATGGAGCAGCCAATTGTCTGCTTGCTCTTATCCCACAGCAAGTGAAAGCTAAACTGGAAGGGAGGCAGCACAGCTCTTTCTTTTCCCATTCAGATTGTCTTTTAATGTAACCTCTGTCCTTGTCCCTGGAAGGCCTCTGCTCCCTGCCCTGAGAAAAGTACCGTTCTGTCATCCTGTGGTGTTGGTGCTGGAGGAGATCACTGTGCCTCTCGCAGCACAGAGAAAGCTTCTGGGGCTAGAACCAGAGTGTTCAAATCCCATTAGTTTTAATGGTAATTGGAAGCACATTCAAATGATCCAGTCCTGCAGGGCATGTTAAACTACTTGAGCACAGAGGAGCGGAGTCAGGGATGCTTGGAAAGCTGCCTTCGTTCCGAGTAATGGTGTTGCACTTACGTAGGCAAAGCAAGTCATAATCAACGGAACATTTTTTCCTTCTATCTACAAGAGAAGGAAGGAACTGCAGAATCTGGATTCTCGCTACCCCAAAGTTCAGGCATGTTCAGACGCAGTTATCTCTGCTATTTAGGTTTTTTTGTTTTTTTCTTTAAGTTATCCAAACAGTCTTCTGTGTGCCAGCAAACTCGGAAAGTGTCCAAGTCCTCCAACTGAAAACTCCTCCATTACTGCTCTGATGTGCCAGTTGCAATGTCAATGAGCCGCACGTGATGAATAATTTCGGAGACCGTTCCAGCCACGTTGTATCAAGCCCATGAGTCGATTCAACCTGCCAGTTATTGCAACCGTCACAAACTCATCTTGTTCAGGCAGAATCCCACTGAAATGAACGGGACTTTGTGCAGCTAAAAGCAATCTTCATTAAATATAGGCCAGCTGTCAGGTATTTAAAGGAAATGATTATCATACATGCCAACACAAATCTGTCTTGAGACCTCCCCCTGACCTCTGGCTTCAGTTGAGTGGTGGTTACCCTACCAGGCATATATTTGGGGTCTGTTATCCCCATGCCATGTGCAATTATGTCCTTTTAGCGTTCACTGCGGTTACATGTGCATCAAGAGGGAAATTGTAGAGCTTTGCATTCGGTTCAGAAGTGCTCTGTAGTGCTAGTCCTTTCCTCAAAGCTGTTTTTTCAGCTCAATTATTGCACTTGTTTAAATTTATCTTTAGCCAGCAGGTATGCTCTAAACAGTCTCTTGTAAAATCTCTGCAGAATCCAATTCAAATTTGAAGTGTGATAGGCTAGATTTTAACCGCAGCAAAAAAA